GTGACTACTCAGCACCAATTTGTCTTATATCTATGTATTTTTATTTTAAAATGGTATGGTACAGAATATAATTTCATGCCCTTTTGATTTATTACTTCATTTTACTTAAGGGTGGTATTTATTTACTGCTGGAGCGATAGCACAGTGGTAGGGTGTTCGCCTTACAAGCGGCCAACATGGCCAATCCGAGTTCGATTCCTCCACCCCTCTCGGAGAGCCCGGCAAGCTACCGAGAGTATCTCGCCCGCACAGCAAAGCCTGGCAAACTCCCTGTGACGTATTCGATATGCCAGGCACAGTAACAACAAAGTCTCCAATGGAGACGTTACTGGGCCCGCTCGAGCAAATCGACGATCAACGGGAGGGCCTTTACCTTTATCTATTACTGGTTTGGTTATTAGCTTGTTTTGCTTCAGTTTTGTTTTGGGTATTTTTTTTTATTTACGCCATGTGCGGTGCATCAGATTTTATGTTTGATGAGTTTAGCATTCATACTTAGAAATATCTCATCCACACCGTTACATAAATATTTGTCTGTGTTTATGTAGTACTTTAAAAGTTGTTGCATAGCTCCCCAACTTTCAAGTCTGTCACACTTTTCTCATACACACTGTGCATACTGAACTACTTAGAAAGCAGGAGTTTGAGAATCAATATCAGTCTTATCAGGATTGTTCCAAAGAGCAAAATACAGATAATGAGGGGGTACGTTTCATTCCAAAGTCCCAAATAATGAGTTTCACTGCTAAAGTATAATTACGAACTGATTTTGATGTGAGAATATGTGCAGAGAATAAGTTATGAATGTAAATGATATAAATGAATTCTCATTAAAGTAAGGCAATGCAGATTATACAGTGGTAGACATCATTATTGGTGGATTGCAAAGAACATGTGAGTTAGAGAGGGCATGTTGTGTTCTGATCTTGACTCTTGTTGAGTTCCAATGTAGACTCCAGGAGCTCTCAGATGTCGGCCATGCATTTGACATACAGTCTGCGCTTCAGTCTGTATCAATCAAGGGAAGGCAGTGGATCCTGGTACTGAATAACAACACCAAAACAATAAGATTCCCTGGGCTGAGGGACCAGTATCCAAAATATTAGCACCTATTTGTTCTGTCTCCTAGATGGAACCCACCACCCTGCAGAGCAGGAAGTAGGAAATCGGGGACTGAATTTGCCTCAAGGAGCTAGAAAACAGTTGTGTTTCCTCAGCAGAATAGGGCACAGCCTTGAAAACTATGAGTTTTGTGCAGCCAAAACTAAAATTGTGTTTTTGTAATGTAGACCATTTCTGATGAATTTCAAATGACTCTTTACTATTCAGAATGCAAAAACTGTTCTTTTTTTTTTTTTTTTTTGCATTTCTTAAGCAATATAAAGGGTATTCCTAATCACAAAGCATCCCCAGACAAGGACTTGGTCTCCGTTAGCTGGAGCTTGACAAAGCAGGTTGTCTGCTCAGTTGACCTTAGAGATGGTAGTTAGTGTGGGACCTACGGGCCTGCAGACCAAAATGGAGTCTGGCTCCAAACTGTGCTTTGTCTGTACAACAACTCAGCATCATTCCTGAAAGTACACAGAGAACCAGAGAAATTGGAGCGTGTTCCAAAAGCTCAGCCTTAGGAACTTGGAACAGAGTAAAGAACAAATAAACAAGTCCCTCGCTTTCTGGGACACATTAAGGAAAGTGTGCACAGTGAAACTGATATACTTGAAATCCCTTCAGATAAATCATATATTTTTTACAGGAAATTGAGATTGAGAGAATAGACTAATCACAGGTGCTGGTGTGTAAATAGTGATCCCAGGGTAGGTTCCTAAGTATGAGATTGTTGGGTTCAAGCCTGTGACTGAGATGCTTGGAGAAAGTGCATCATGGGCTTGGGGAACAAGGTATTGGGACCTAAGGAAGAAGTTGCTCTCTGCCAACTATATCTCAATAAAGCTAGGCTTTAGGGGAAGAAAGTTCTGGCTTCTCTGGGCTAAATAGGAATCTGAAGCAAGTCAACATGCTGTTCTTCTCTGGGACTCAGGAGTTCATGATTGAAGATGTGAGAAACGAACACTTAGAGGATAGTTTTGAAGGCAGAATTGCTAGGTTGCTTTCTATGCTTAGAGTCTCCTGAAAGCAGTAACATTTGAAGGTCCTTTGTTTTATTTTTATAAGGGTTATCCTACCCTTTTATAAACTCATTTTAAATATGTCATTTATTTTCAGGAAATGGAAAATTCTAAGGTAACATACAAGAAAGTTGATGTCTTTTATGTGCAGAATATTTATGTTACAAAGAGAGGATAAATTTGCATTTTATCAGGGACTTTGTCAACGCCTATTCTCACTTGTGCCTGTTACTGTTTCTGACTGGAATCCTGTAGTCCAGACAGCAAAGAAACTGAAAGTGTTTGGGTACCATTTATTAGGGACACATGCATGAGAAGTGTAAATATCGAACAGAATGGTTTTACTCTTGTCCCTGCAATAAGAAAAGTCACAGCATAGAGTGGGTATAGTGCCAAACTATTGATATTCAGAGAATCTTCTTAAGCCTTACACCCACATCTGTATCTGTATTCCACCTTTCCTGCTGCTACTGGTTAGCCTGCCCCACGTCGGGGTGAAAAGTCACCACACATTGGTGACTTTAGAAGTACACTTAGCAGTACGCTCTCTCTAACAGTCCTGACCACATGTTTCTCTCTCCAAGACTTGGTTTTCTAAATTATTCAAAAGAAGAGATTGGACTTGATAATTGTAAAATCATTCAAATCCCAATGTTTGAAGATGGACCTTTATCTGATTTTCACCTTTGGTCAATACAATCCGTCACTTGCTTTCATTGCGTTTTTTTGTGGTAATTCTCAGCCCTGTGTCCAGTGCAGCTCTCAGCTGAGTGTCATTCTTATGGGACATATGATTCTCTAAACATGATTCTCTAAACATTTCTACTGAGGTACTTTGCATAGGCTTCTCGAATATGCTGTATCCCCGTGATGCATCAACTTTCCCAGTTTTCTACTTTCCTCCCAGGGTTAGATCTCTCCTCAATACAAGTAACTCGCATGCAAGTAACCATCTATGTTCTCCTTATCTCTTTAGATAATTCAAAAATCGTTTGTTAATGGCCTGGGTAATCCAACATACCAAAAGTTCTGTTGCTTTTATTTTCTTGTCAGCACTAAAGCATTTCCTTACAATTACAAAATTTTTAATTTAAGTAGCATTTACATTATAAGCTAAATGAAATTTTTCCAAGCTAACTTTTTTCAGATATCATTTTCTGTTGTCTCACATAGTTCCCTGGTGTGGAAAATTTTGAGCACTCCCCAGAACTCAGGGCATAGTTTTATTTCCAGAGAGACATTTTAAATAACCTAAGAGCAGGGGTAGTTTCTTATTTCTTTGTGATTCTATTGCAGCTTAGAATGCATCTCAGGTGACTAACGGATTCTGAGTCCATGAGTGAAAATGAAAATACGAGGGTCTCTCAGACAGTCACAGCCTCACGCCATGAGTCTCTTTTCAGCACAGAGAAGCCATTGGCTATAGAGTCCGTGTTACCTGCTGCCTTGCTTCTGAAGAGTCCTGAACACCTGTCTTTCTTTGTTTGCACACATCCTCTTCTGAGAGAATCCAGTGTCCTTTCGTCTAGTATGTCTATAAAGCACATTTTTGTGTATTTTCTGGGGATGAGATTAGAATTATGATATCTAACCAGTCTTGAATAGAACTTTCTTGTACCCCACATTTGACTCGGTTCTCTTGGTAAACAACAAAAATTTTCTTCAAAACAGGTGTTTATATATAAACCAATCTCCTTATGTGCAATTAACAAATGACCCTCCAACTCCTCCAAATGTTAGTGAAATTTAGTCTACAGTCTTAGCTCTCATCCGTAAGCAAAATAGACTGCCAAGTGTGAGTGACTGCATTTTTCTCATCATCATAAAATACTTCCTGGAAGATATTAAGCAAGGTGACATATTTTTGCAGAGTTAACAAAAACTATTACATGTAAAAAAAATCAACTTCCTATGTGTTTTTTAAACTTATTTTTTAAATGTGTGCTGGAGTAATGAACATGAAAGTCTTTTAAAATTCAAGAAAAGTTTGATTTTTAAGAGAAGCAGCTTTCTCTGGTGTCTGCTGCGATCACAAATCCTTTCAAGCTGAGATAACTCCCTCAGATGAGTCCTTTACTGCCTCTCCTTGAGTGGGTTGTATTTTGTCACTCCTATAACCGTTTCTTTCGCCTGCCATGCATTCTTCCAGGCATTTCTTTATAGACTCAAGAATTGCCCTTTGTCATTTTATTTCTTTTTGAAGAGTCTCTGAGAGTATAGACCAGCTGAACAGGCAGGATTAAATGCTATGCAAAAGCTAGCTCCAAACAAATGAAAGTCAGTATCAATAAGATTTGTCATTACTCTTTTAAATCACTTTATTGAATACCACTTATAATTACATAATTAATGTCTCAATCCTTAAAGTAAGCCTGTAATTTCAGCATGGATAGCAGCCTATTACAGTGCGGGATGAGGATTGAGATTAAGTAGACTGCTTGAAGTCACAGAGCCAGGTTAAATTGTTAACTCCTGCTCGCAGTCTCTGTTTCACCAGAGTCTAAGCATGTGAGTGCCAACACCAGGGCCTTTTTTTTTGGGGGGGGGAGGGGTCATAATCAGCAATGCCCAGGGCTAATTCCTGGATCTGCATTCAGGAATCACTCCTAGTAGTGCTGTGGGGACCATATAGGATGCCAGGACTAGAACCCGGGTCCACCGCATGCAAGGCAAATGCCCTACCTGTTAAACTAATGCTCCAGCCCAACACCAGGATGTTGGGTGAAGGGTTCTCAAATTGTTCTGCAGGAACATAGTCCCTAGTCCAGTTGTCATATAGTCCAAAGAATCAGGTGATGGAGATGTTGACATTCTACACTTAATGAATCAAAGAGAAGTTTGACAGATTCCTCTGGATGTTTCTTTGTCTTCTAGGAAGATTTCCAACCCGCAGCAGCCTCAGAGACCAACTGGGAGTCAGTCACAAGCTCTATCTCAGTAAGTAATTTGTTTTACTATTGCCAATGGAAAAAAACCGAGGCATTCGCCAAGGTCAACCTCAGAACAATTTCAGCTGCATTAAGGACCATTGGTTTGACCAAAAGCCAGGCCTCATGCTTGCTCCTTTCTCCCATTTCAGCCCGGTCACAATGAGCCATGTCACACTTCTCTTTGGGAAAGGTTCCAGGAAATGCCAGGCCTCATTGTGAGAACACAGGAGAAACAATGACTTGAGAACTGCTAGGGCTTACCAGAGAATCCAAGTCAAGGACCGTTCAGACACACTCAACATAGCAAACTAAACCAGGGCCCAAACTCAAGTGGAGAATTTTGAAATAGTTTTCTGAGGTTTTTTTTAATTCCATTCAAGAGGAAGTTGTGAATCTTTGCATTTTAAGGGTTCTTTTCAGATCTAAAAAATCCCAGTTTCCAGTAAGCTAACAGGAACAAACCACACATGCTCTGTTTGACTAAGAAATAAAACACAGCTCACCCCAGAACTGTAAAATTCTTCATGTTCCCATTTTGTTCTCCATATTTAGTCATTTCTCAGTATTCTACTTATCTGCATTGCATGGAAAAAGCAGACCTTGTTTTCATCAGTTCTATGTGTAGCACTTCATGTAGCAATAAAATACAAGATAATGAAGCAGATGTTTATTAAGAAGTGAAGAGAAGTGAAAAAAAGTGTATCCATGATTTTAAAAGGAGTCAGTAGGACTGAGTCAGAGTTAATATATTTTTCCATTAAAGTCATCTTTTGCTCTCAGGAATATTTCTGTAATTCCCTTATGTTACGATTTCCTCAGCAATGGATTCCATGACTATTTAATTCACCTGGTGTGGCTGCTGAATGAGAACATCACAGGGTCGAGGTCCCTGAGTAGTGGCATTAAAAGTGTTTTTGACTGGACAATCCATTACGCATGCGTTAACTAAGTTGAGGGGTGGGTGTCCCGCCAGACAGGTGGAAATGAAAAGGCCAGTGAGGCTGCCAGGGAGGTAACCTGAAACCCAGTATTCAATGTCAGTGTTCTGCTTAAGTTGCTCTCCTATCCTGTAAATTCTCCTCTGTCTTTGACCTAGTGGGTTCTAGACCATCCATCTTGCTCCAGGGTACAGATATGACTTGTTTCAAGGACCATGGAATGCATAATAGATGATTTCATTCTCATAAGGAGACAGGTTGGCCTGTCCATCTGGAAGCTGTGCAGCTCAGCTGTGGGGCTGTGTGCACTGGAAAGGCATTTGGCTTGAGTTTAAGGCCAAGTTCTGCCAAGTCCTCAAGTAAGATGAGGGAAATGTAGCTTCTTTACTCAGCATTCCATTTCTCAGGAACCTTCTGGAACAGAAACCAGGACCATTGGATCAACCATTAATTTCTGCATAAGCCATGCTTTGTTTCTGTTAAATTTTTAGTTTCTAATTATTAGAGCACTACCTTATAAATTGTTATCATTTTCAAGTAATTCATCTAACTGTACAATTGAGTCATATACACATACAACAAAAGCTAAAGGAAATCAAATTGACAGCAGTTAAAGAAAGCCCCAAGTTAATTCACTCTCTCAAAGATAGATTTAAAATAATTAACTCAGAAGTAAATATTGTGGGTTTCATCAGGTCACTGAAGCACTCAGACATATTTTATTTTATTGCTCTTGAGGTAGCATGGTTTGCAGTAGTGTTCATCTTTATGTCTTTGGCATAAAATGTCAATGTACCACCACCAAAATCCCTGGTGTGTTGAACCTACCTTCTGCCTCTCTACCCCATTGGTAAATTTGGTTTTATTGTCAAAAATACTTCCTTGTGGGCTGGAGCCACAGTACAGAGGGTAGGGCACTTGCCTTGCACACAGATGACCCAGGTTTGATCCCCACACATGGTCCTCCTGAGACCCACCAGGAGTGACCCCTCAGCATTGAGCCAGGAGTAAGCCCTATGCTACATGTGGCCCCCAAACCAGAAATACATGAATATTTTATTAATTTTTATTACATGTCTGTCAACTTCCCTAAATCCAAGCTTAAAAAGAGCACTAGAAACTGATATATGCGCACAGTTTGACATTGGACCTATAGTTTGGATTTACTCTTTAACCTAATGTTGGCTGCATCCAACATGTTGGCTTCTTCCTTCCCCACAGAGACCAAGTCCCTGTCTAATGCTTTCTTGTGACGACTGTTTGGGTTCTTCACACTTGCCCAGAGGCACACTGAGCTCCTAGCAAAACTGGGTCTGCTAGCAAAGGCTTCCCCAGACCACTGTACAAAGCAGTCACCTGTAGGACAAACTTGATTGAAGCGCTGCCTTTATATCAGAGAGAGAGGAGTGTTTCATTTCAGAGCTTTTCTATACAACTGAATATTGAAGCATGGGCATGAGCATTGATTCTTTGGCTCTTAAGCCTTCAGTATTGTGACACAGTTGGATTGTAAATCAGCTGGTGGATGTGAACCGGTGGTCTGCCAAATCTCCACACCATACAGGTCAAACGAGCATTTGGAACTTTGGTGCTGGATTATAGTACTTCATGCTTGAGATGTTGAGGACAGAAACGTGCTTCAGCCAGCTTTTAGGTCACGTCACACATGCACACACACACACACACACACACACACACACACACACACACACACACATACACCATACACATCACATACATGCTCACAATTCTTAGATTGAAGAAAACTGTCCTGACACCTTTTTCAATCCTTCTGTTGTCTCCCCCTTTAGTACCCAACTCTCCCCTGAACTCCATCCCCTGCAGGCTATAATTGAAAACTTCTCCTGAATGGCACATATGCTTTTTGTAGATAAATATTTTCCACCCCTGCCTTTCTTCTAAACCATTCCTCTTCAAGCGGGCAATCAGCAAATCCTTAGGGACCTCTGGACCTGGGTTGGTTTAAAAAAAAAATGACCTAAGAATGAGACTATAAATTAAGGGCTTTACTCTCTGGAGCTCCAGAGCACAAATTACTATTCAAAAGGGATATTGCAGTTAAGTTTCAGGAGCACAAGTTTTCATTAATTTCCATTTTCCCGTCGTGATGGGAGATATTTGCCCTTGGGGGATCTTATTTGTTTGGCAGTTCCTTTAGAGACATTTAGAAATCATTTGAGAGTGTGTGCTCTCTATTTTCTTGTTAATGGGTCATGAATTTTTACAGAGCTGTTTGAATCATGGCTCATTTACCTCTAGATTGTACAAGGGTTAGTGAAGTAAGTGCTTGGAAACTTATGTGGGGATGCACTCCATGACAAAAATACAGAATTCCTTTCAGACTTTCCGTGATGTTGCCTCTTTAACTAGCATTCATGGACTGTGGTAATAGCAATTGGGATCACTAGCAAGGCAGGCACTTTGAAAAAATTGTGATTCCCATGTGAATATTCTAACTCTTTAAATTGAGAGAGCCAGTGTTGGGGCTAATTATCTTTGTTGACAGTAAATAAGCCAGTTGGTGTGCAAGGTCTTATCAGGATGTCTCCAAAGTGGATCCAAGCCTAAGCACCTGCTCTGCTCAGAGGTCTCAAAAGCAGGGCACAGGGGAGCCCACAGGGGCAGAAGAGTGGGGTGGGCTACACAATACTTGCATGGAAAGCTTTTAATTTTGCCATTATTTTTTGATATGGATTTGGGTACTTTGGGACCTTCGAGCTGGAAAATGTATGAAGTCATTTTACTCTTCATTCTACCCAATATATTTTTGAAGATCGTAATGCAGATGAGCTGAAAGATTTACGATCTGCCTAGTTTTGATTAGCAAAAAGTGAATGACTGCCATTTACTAATTAATTGCTCTTGCCTAGGAAAATGGCAAGACCATGGCAGAATACTTTATCATGATATGGATGCATAGAATTTGAGAAGCCTATTAATGTTCCTTTCATAGAGTGGCGGGACAGTTGTATTTCCTAGAGCGGACTGTTTCTGAGTACACTGAGCTGTATGTCACTCTTAGGGGGTGTCCTATCACTCTCCATCAGTAACGGACCCCACACTCACTGCGGACGCTCTGGACAAAACCGTCGCACAGTTTGATACGGTGGAAGACCTGCTCAAGCACTTCAATCCAGAATCCTGGCAGGAAGATCTTGAGAATTTGTATTTGGACACACCTCATTATCGAGGCCGGTCATACCATGACAGGAAGTCAAAAGGTAAGGAATGGAGACAGAGGGGTCCTTCATAACTGGAAGGCAATGCTAATGTTAAATGAGGATCAGCGATGTGATATGTTCAATTGGCAGATATATGGTTGCTGTTAGTCCATTATTGCATACATCTTTCAAAGAACCCTCACATAAAGCTCTGTGTTTTTACAAAACTGTGATGTTTGTATGAAAGGAGGAAACAGTAGATTCTATCAAAGATTTATCCCAGGTTGGAACTAGGAGAGACATAAAAACAAGAGGGCTGGCTTTTGGGTTTAGGCAAGAAAAGCCTCGTGAACCGCAACAGTAAACCATGCAGGCAGCCACAGTCAATGGTAAACAATTCCCCAGAGCCTGCATATGATGGCCAGACCTCATCTCCATGACTTGTCTGTCCCTGTCTAAGGGCTTCCAGCCAGGTCTGGATGCCAGAGTAACTAGGCACAGACTCTGCTGGCAGATGCAATGGTAGATGAAGCATCGGTCATAGGTCTCCAAAAGATTGAGACTTGACTCATTAAGTGAATATTTGACAGATTTGGGGGGTGGGAGGGCAAGGAGGTAAGGGGGTGTTTGGCCACACCTGGAAGTGCTCAAGGCTTTCACTTGGCTGTATGCTCAGGGATCACTCCTACAGGGCTCAGGGGATCAAATGAGGTGCAGGGATAGAACCAGGTCCTGCCACCTGCAGAGCATGCGCCCCCCCCCCACTGGGCTATTGCTCCAGCCCCACTTTACAGATTTCTTTTAATGATGACCCACTATGTGCTTGGATGCCCTGATGAGTAATGCGCTATAAACTTCCAGACAAAGATCTGGAACCTACTGGAGATGTGTGATGGCATATCTCCCATTGGAAGGCCTAGGAAAGTATGCTGAGGAGAGGGACAGAAATATTCATGCAGAGAAGACACCTTAAGGTAAATAGTAATACTTGAGCCCCCAAAATAAATACCTAATGTATACATTGAAGGGATAGGAACTTAGGATAAGAGTTTTAATTTCAGGGGCTGAAGAGGTAGTACAGCAGATAAGGCTCCTTCTTGGTTCGGTCCCCGGCATCCCATAGGGTCCCCAAACACCACTAGGAGTGATTCCTAAGTGCAGGGCCAGGAATATCCCCTAAGCTTCACCAGCTGTGGAACCCCAAAAATTTTAATTTCAGTGTTTGACTTTAATAGTGAAGTACCTGGAAATTTTCTAGTTTAATTCTTGGGACAATGAAATACCTGGGAATTATTGGTTTAATTCTTGGGAGGGGATAAAATTACTAGTACTAGCTGCTACATCCTAGCCATCATATTTGTAGGATTTGTTGTTTGTTGCTTTGGGCCAGAGAGATAGTACAAGGGTAAGGCACTTTCCCTCCATACTGGCCAACCCTAGTTCCTTCGCCATCACAGCATATGGTCCTTCAACACTACCAGAGGTCATTTATGAGTACAGAGCCAGGAGGAGCCCCTGAGCACAGCAGGATGTGATCCAAGGCCCCTCACCCCCTCACTCCTGCCCCATCCCCATATATATATACACACATATATATGTGTTATTTGTTGCATCACTGGGTGTAACTCAAATGCCAAAAAAAGCTTCTTGTGTGTGAGAATGTTGAGAGCTGCCACTGAAATTGTTCCTGTGAAGGCATTTAAGTGACATACAGCTCGCTTCCTGCATTTTGTAACATCACACACGTCTAAGAATTATGAACCCGACTCTTTTTAGATAAATATTTGTGTCTATAAGTATAACCTATTCTCCACTGTCTTGGTGGGTCACTTAACTCCTGCCGGGGTCTGCTGCTCGCAGCTTAGATTATAAACCTTGTGTCCTTAAAAGGCACAGCAAAGAGCGAACAGGGTGGCCCTGTGTGCCGGGGATATGCACATGTTGATCACTGTGACTGTCCAGCCATCAACTCGGGGCCCCAGTGGGATTTGGAGAAAGCAGAAACCATTCCTCTGTAAGGGGGTTGCTGTCCTTGGATCTCCACAAGGTCAACTGGAAGGAAAGTGAAATAGCTGCACGTTTTAAAAAACAAAATATTTTAAATGGCATTGAACAAGAAGTGGTTGCATCTGGCTCTGTCTTCAGGTCTGGGCACCGTCTGGCTATGAGGGGCAGCCCTTTTTGGTGCCTGTTACAAATAGAAAATTTTTTAAATAACCTCAATTTGTGACTGCTTTTCCCCCAGAATTTAGGTTGCATTGGTGTAGGGTGTCAGGTTCAACTCTTAACCCTGCTGTTTACAAGCTCACCACATCTGTAAGCCCTTGTTTCCCCCTCAGCCAGGCGACTGTGTGTGACTGTGTTTGTGTGAATGTGTGTGACTCTATTTGTGTGTGTGAGAGAGAAAGAGAGAGAAGAGAGAGAGGAGGGAGAGAGGAGAGAGAAAGGGGGGTGAGAGAGAAGGAGAGAAGGGGAGGGAGAGAAAGGGGGGGAGAGACCTGCAGTGCATGACAGTCTGTGGCCCATGCTAAAAGGATGGTTGGCATTTGTGGAATTGAATGATTGAAAGTCTGGATCATCCAACCCTCTCTGTTTATAAAATTCCAGAAAGCCAGCCCCTAGACTCTGGGTGTAGCCTATGAATAATGCTGTTGGTGGCTGAAATGACCTTGGAGGGTCCCATGCCTGGACATCCTATTTACCTCTGACTAAGCAAACATCTCTTCCCTGCTGGCTCCCTATTTTAATCTCCTGTGTGAAGTGACCCCGAGGCAGTTCACAGGCTTCCTCATCCTCGGGATCTGCACATGGTCTGCTCTTGTATAAACGACCTCGTTTAATTGTTTATCGTCCCTCTGATGTTCTACCACCTGCACGTACCACAGAGGAAGGGAGTCGGGAGTCGACTTTAATATTTCAGCTGTTAGATCTCAAACACACAAAGCTGTAGTTTGCATCCTGACATATAAAAAGGGGAGCAGGGAGTAAAGAGTGTGAAAAGGGGAAATAGCTAGAGAGCTTGGAGGTCCCTTGGGTCACCTAAAGCTTAAGCCTTAAGGGAAGAGTGCTTGGAAGAGTGCTATTATGCTACTATCAGTATAATAAAGGTAAGGTAAAAAAAAGGTAAAGGCCCTCCCGTTGATCGTTGATTTGCTCGAGCGGGCCCAGTAACGTCTCCATTGGAGACTTTGTTGTTACTGTGTCTGGCATATCGAATACTCTCGGTAGCTTGCCGGGCTCTCCGAGAGGGGTGGAGGAATCCAACTCGGGTCGGCCATGTTGGCCGCTTGTAAGGCGAACGCCCTACCCGCTGTGCTATCGCTCCAGCCCATTAGCGATAGCACAGCGGGTAGGGCGTTCGCCTTACAAGCGGCCAACATGGCCGACCCGAGTTCGATTCCTCCGCCCCTCTTGGAGAGCCCGGCAAGCTACCGAGAGTATTCGATATGCCACACACAGTAACAACAAAGTCTCCAATGGAGACGTTACTGGGCCTGCTCGAGCAAATCGACGATCAACGGGAGGGCCTTTACCTTTACCAAATCAGTATAATAATCACTTAATATCTGATAGGAACGGGGCTCTGAGCAGCCATTCTCCACCTACTGATTCGTCCAGAGGCTCGAGAGTGATGCTTTTGTACCCCTGAGGAAAACCCTGCTCAGAGGAGCTTTGAATGTGGATACACTGTGATCATACGGGGTGAAGAACATTTTTTTAATCACCATGAGATACACAGTTTACAAAGCTGATCATGATAGGATTTCAATCATACGATGTTCCAACACCCATCCCTCCACCAGAGCACATTTCCTACCACCAATGTCCGTAGTTTCCCTCGTGCCCCTCTTCCTGGCCCCCCAAGCCAGTCCCTATCGCAGGCACTTTTTTTCTTTCTTTCTCTCTCCATCTCTCTCCTTTGGGACATTAGAATTTTCAATACAAACACTGAGAAGTTATACTGTTTACTCCCTTCTTTCAGCACACAGTTCTTATCCAGAGTGATCATTTCCATCTATCTTTGTCATCATGGTCCCTTCTCTGTTCCAACTGCCAGGATGAAGAACTTCTTAATGTAAAAACTTAAATGTTATCATTTGTTTCTGTGTTTTTGGAAGAAAGTCTCATACGGGTGAGTTTTCAGTTCTCTTGACAAGGAGTGTTGATGTGAAAAGCAAGAAGACAGTAAATGTGGGGAGAAGAGGGGAAGAAAGGGCTCAGATGGCACTGACTGATCGGTTGGAGACTTCACCCAGCACAAAAGGACCCAGAAGTGTAGAAGTTTATTGGGGTGCACTCCCGTGCAGGCCCTACAGTCCCCCCGGCAAGGCTGGGGTAGAGCCACACTCTGGAAAATGCTAAGTGGGATTTTAAGTTGTCTTGGACAAGGAAGGTAACAAAGACCAGTGTGAGTGGTAACTCCTGGCCAAAGCAGGGATATGGCCTGGGGGCTGCCAGACTAGGGATGGAACATATACCCACCATATGTCCCCTTTGACCTTGAAGACAGGGTGAGCTTCCATTCTGGCAGTGTTGAGTGTTCATCAGCCGGCCTCCGTTTGATCCCAAGCAAATCTTACACTGACAAGTACTGAAAGCAGAACTTCAGCCCTTTCTCTTTATGTGGTGAAGTCCTCAAGTAACAGATAAGCTCTGCAGACTTCTCTGTGAAGGCGTCTCACTGAGGATGACATGCCTCGCTCCTGTGTCTGACTTTCCATTTCTGATGAGTCCTGGAGAAGGGGCCAGCATAGCTAATTAAAATCTGCAGATAACTAGCTCAAAGTCCAGTTTTCAACAATATGTCAACATGGTGCTTCCAACCTCACTGTTTCCCCCAAGTTTTTTTTTCTTAAGTAATTTCTCAGATTGGTTCAAATTGCATTGACCTCTCTAAGACCATAGTAATGATATAGAAAATTTGCATATGATGGAGTTTAAAAATAGGTGGGTGTTCTGTAGGCTGAATAGTTAGCCCTTGGCATCGCTGAAACTCAGCTTTAATTCTTTGGAATTACTAACGCCTGTTTCTTCAAGGACATAGCATGAAACTCAGTAGC